CCATACCTTATAGGGGGGGGAGGCTTTAGTTTTATCGCTCGTTGTCGATAAAAAATATACACCCTTTGGGAGACACGCCAAACGAAATCTTTGAGCGAAAGTACCGTTAAGAAAACGTCAAAAAGGAAAAAATCTTAAATTTCAGCAACCCCCACGCAAGCTGCTCCTTCATCTCGGAGAACTACCGGTCATCCTGTGCCCAAGTGTACAACTACCACCGGCTTGAAAATACGAGTTTTAAAACAAAAATGAAAGAGAGAGAGAGAGAGAGAGAGAGAGATAGAATAAGAGATGAGGAAGAGTGTAATGAGGGAACGGCTTGTTTTAATTTCGAAGATAAGCCGCTGCGCGGCTCGGCGTCGTCGCTGCGCCCGACGAGGAGGCCGCACAACCCGAAAAGAGCGCCGACCGAGAGCGAGTGCACTTTCTTTTCGAAAACCGTCTGCTTGGAGGCTGCCGATTATCCCATGTATGTATACATATACCAACTTGTGCTTATATATACGTTTGGGTTTTGAGAGATTGGAGAACCTGTTCCGTCGCCTATTTCTATGTGTGTACACGACATCGCTTTCCGCTGCACTGCGCTTTGTTTGGTTGCTTTTTCCCTCCGTCTGCACATACATATATATATGCCCGTCCTTAAGGAAAAGCCGAGTTTCACCGGTAGGACTGACCCATCAATATTGTTGCTCCCTTTTTTCAATAGGGAGGCGATAATGCGGAGTATCCGGAACAACAAGGAAATGGTGGCAGCCCTTCTCGCGGACTTTAAGGTGCAGGACTCGGGTTTCGCGGACGAGGAGGACTTTCCCCAGTCGTCGTCGTACAAGACGAGCTACGACAACAGGTACGACAAACGCTACGAGAAGAACCGCTTCGAGACGAGCAACGAGATCAATAGGTCAGTTAATCTTTGTTATTGGATTTTTTTTTTTTTTTTTTTTTTTTTTTATGGTAATGGATACGACCGAGAGTGGGAGATCGGTATACTGTATGGTGGTATTGCAAAATTGTTTCCCCGGCGTCGTTAAAACCGATATACTACCGGGGAATTTCACTTTTTTTTTTTTTTTTTTTTTTTTTTTTTTTGGTTGCCGCTAATAACAGCCATCATTAAGGCCTCTTCCATCCTCGTTGTACCACTTTCGAGATTAGTAAATGTCGTTCTTCGAGGCCGTAAAAGCGCAAAAACACCGACTCACTTGCCATCTGCATCGGCTTATCGATACGCGGGCGAGAAGAAAATTAGAGAAAACCACCGTGTACTTTCCCGACTGTTGTGTATGAGTACCGCCATAAAAAAAAAAAATAGTAATAATAATAAAGAGGCAAAGGTATGCGCAGTCGTAAAAATATACATTCGGGTACAGTCCATATAATTGGTCATTCTCTGGTGTTTCGCGTACTTTTGACTTTCTTGGGAGCAAGAATGAGCGCAAAGCCCTTTTTACCCGCGTTTATTACGCAACGCCTTTGTATCCGCGTAAAAATTACCGGAGAGTTTTATGGCAATTTCAACAATGACAAAACACTTTTGAACTGCACGCTTATTTTCCTTTGCTTTTCTAGGTACACGTATAATCGCTAAACCAAAAAGTAAAACCGTCGCATATTTTCATGAATTCCCTGCTGCACCGCACGGTTGGGTAAAAAGTATATACTACACGAGAGAGGGAGAAATAACAGATTTGGTGGGTATCGCAATGCAATCCACGAGAGAGCGTATAGCGACCATGTAGGTACACGGAGGCTCTGGGTGTAATATATCTCTCGGTGGCCCGAAAAAAAAAAAAAAAAAAAAACAGCAGCAGCAGAGCCAGACAATGCGCATCCGCTCGTGTCTTTGGAAAAGAGAGGCTTATCGCGGGAACGGTTCGCACGCGCTGCCCAGGGGATACTTGTATTAGGGACTTTCACACGATGACGATGACTGCACCGCGTTGTTTCGTGTGTATTTTCTCGATTCTTGCCGAAATCCGGGCTTTCCCTCCTCATCTCCGCGGATCGGTAATTAGCGCGTGGCGAGTGCCCTCCCCTTCGCTTAGGAAATTTCACGGCTCGGAGGACCATTTTTGAACGAAAGAGCCAAGTGTATGGCTAATAGCGGGCGTTTTTGCCTTTTTTTTTTTTTCCCTCGCAGGCGCTCGAGCTCAGGTTGGTCAGGCCGAGCAAGTACAGGAGGCCACACTACCCGCCCACCCGGCGGCCACCCGTCAACCGGAGAAACGTCTATCACGGTGAGTGTTTTCTTTTTTTCTTTTTTTTTTTTTACGAGCATATTATATTGGAGCGGACAAAATAAAGGTCATCGTCTGGTTGAGAAGAAAACAATAAAGAGTCGATCTCAAAGGAATTGGAAGATAAATATTATATCGAAACGTGATATTCATTGTGATAAATTGCGGCTATTAACTGGATAGATTGGTTTAACATATATAATTAAAATCGATGCCTGTAATTATATACGACTACGTGTGATAATTGCATCGGGCGAGCTTTTACGTTATCATTAATATTTATACTTCGTGGTTTTTTTTTTTGCTAATATAATCAGAGGTCCGTACGATATTTCATGCAATTTTGCTATTAGTAATTTAAAAGGCGCCTTCCCCCCTCCTTTTTCTTTTACTTTTATTTTAATTTTTTTTTTTTTTTTTTTTTTTTTTTTTTTTTTTTCTTTTGTCCGGGATCATTGAGAAAATTTTTTTAAGCAAAAAAGGTACCCATAGCTCTTTACGGAAAATCGTATTTTCACTGGTTTTTGTAGATGACATGGCTTTTCTCGTTCACAGCAAGTATGATTGAAAGTTAGATTTTTTCTTACAATCTTTATAACCTTTTTATGACCCAATATTACACGATGCATCGTATTTTTAAGCTATCAAAAATTTTTTTTTTCATAGTCAGGTCAGGATAGAGTCAAAAGCGAAAAAAGTAGAGCACAGTTTTCATTAACATCTCTTTGAATTATTTTTCTCGTTGTCAGCAGACAAGACGAAAAAAAAAGGGTACAACGTGAAAAGAAATGCTATTACAGGGGAAAATACAGACGACTCATAAAAAGTTATTTCAGAAAAAAAAGGATAAAAATTATTGTGCTAAAATGGTAATCTATTACGGTTTCGTCATTTAAAGACTTTTCACTGTTTCAACAATCATTTTTACAGTTTGTTAATTTTTATNTTTTTTTTTTTTTTGTCCCGCGTGTAGCACCTACACTCGCATAAAACTTAACTGCTCTTACGCACGTGCACGCGCGAGTGAAAAGTCGAATCTGCATTATATGACTTACAGCTTGTCAACCGCACATATATTTCATGCGCCATTCGGTACGAAAATTTCTCTATACGTATACATCACGTGTATATACATATGTATATGCGTTAAACCGATCGGATAACTGTATAGAGACAAAAATAAAAATACGACCGCGGGTCATTATCCGTGATTGCCGTCGTCAATTAAACTCTCTTATTTTATTTTTGCTCCTCCTCACAATGCCCGGGTGGAGGAAAAAAAAGAAGGAGGGGGCAGATAATAACGATTTTAATGAGTAAAAACCGTAACTGTACTGTATGACCATGATGATGATGATGAAATGAAAATACGAGTTTTAAAACAAAAATGAAAGAGAGAGAGAGAGAGAGAGAGAGAGAGAGAGATAGAATAAGAGATGAGGAAGAGTGTAATGAGGGAACGGCTTGTTTTAATTTCGAAGATAAGCCGCTGCGCGGCTCGGCGTCGTCGCTGCGCCCGACGAGGAGGCCGCACAACCCGAAAAGAGCGCCGACCGAGAGCGAGTGCACTTTCTTTTCGAAAACCGTCTGCTTGGAGGCTGCCGATTATCCCATGTATGTATACATATACCAACTTGTGCTTATATATACGTTTGGGTTTTGAGAGATTGGAGAACCTGTTCCGTCGCCTATTTCTATGTGTGTACACGACATCGCTTTCCGCTGCACTGCGCTTTGTTTGGTTGCTTTTTCCCTCCGTCTGCACATACATATATATATGCCCGTCCTTAAGGAAAAGCCGAGTTTCACCGGTAGGACTGACCCATCAATATTGTTGCTCCCTTTTTTCAATAGGGAGGCGATAATGCGGAGTATCCGGAACAACAAGGAAATGGTGGCAGCCCTTCTCGCGGACTTTAAGGTGCAGGACTCGGGTTTCGCGGACGAGGAGGACTTTCCCCAGTCGTCGTCGTACAAGACGAGCTACGACAACAGGTACGACAAACGCTACGAGAAGAACCGCTTCGAGACGAGCAACGAGATCAATAGGTCAGTTAATCTTTGTTATTGGATTTTTTTTTTTTTTTTTTTTTTTTTTTATGGTAATGGATACGACCGAGAGTGGGAGATCGGTATACTGTATGGTGGTATTGCCCCTGGAACTTCGTCGTACCGAGATGGGTGCACGTGCGCCGGGTCGTCGTGGCACAGGGGCACGATTCTGTTTGTCAAAAGCGCGATGTGGAAACACGTCGGTCCTTTGTTTCGCGTTATAATTCGTCAAGAGCAACAACGTGGAGATTCAAATACTTTTTCCACGGGTTTTTCTTACGCATCTGCCGTCTTATAAATATTTGTGTAGGCGCATTTGTCGCTGTCAAACATCTTTTTTTTTTTTTTTTCCTACATGGTAATGTACACCATCACAGGAGGTTCGAATTTAATTCGCCGTACAACAAACACAACAACAACCATAACAATGACAAAGACGACAACAACGTGGAGGAAGGCTACACTTGTCCATCGCAGGTGAAGTACGCCCAACCTCAGCTCGCCCGAGCTGCTTCCGGGGTCTGGAAGTACATCATCAACACCGGCGAGCACACCCAGACTCTGAGACTCGAGAAATGCCTGTAAGTTGTCTTATGCATATACTCTTGCTCATGCAGCTTTACTTACGATACAAACGTTGTTTCGTGCAACTTATAAACCAATAATACCTTTACCGCCATAAATTGTACAATTTGCCGGCTATAAGCATTTGTTGGTTTACCTTTATACTCAGGTTGCATATGCATATACCTGTCAGGAGTGACGCGCGTGTATGTTGTCGACGCCTTGCGCAATAAGTTACCAAAGAGAGGTCGGGGGCTGTTCATTGTTTTAACGAGAAAAATTCGTAAAACTGGTCTGTTCAGGCAAATACCTACTCGATGCAGTTGGGTAGGAGAGGAACACTAGTCACTTGTAATCTCTCAAATTCAGTTTAAGTGTAAATGCAGATTTAAAAAAGCGGTTGTAGCGAGCTGTCAGAAGTATGGCGTAAAAGATGGCCTGTGTATACAGATCCATTTTTTATTCGTCAGAAATATTTTTGACTGCGCTCGTCAACATAAGGATCAGTCACAATATCGCGTGCATATTTTTAAATCAAATTGAATGGGGAATGAGTTTCTCCACTAAATATTCATCCTGTCGTTGAGATAAACGCGAGAGCGATTAATTAAAGGTTTAAACTTCTCATCTCCCTCTCCCTCTCCCCCAATGGTAAATGACGTCAGTATGAATGCAGGTACATTTTTTTTACACCCTCCTTCCCCCGCGTGCTTATTTTTTTCTTGCATAAGGCATGATTGTAGCCGCAAAAAGCATCAACTCGATGCTGCACAGTCTCTGCCGACACGACATCCGGGCTCTCAAAGCTCATGCTTTTTCCGATGACTTTCCTTTTCCCCCGCCCAATACCATTGTCTAACCACCGCTCAGTCGATCAAAAAAAAAAAAAAAAAAACGATTTGACGTTTGTGCACGAGCCAATCTCTTTTTTTTTTTCCTTCCATCAACGAGAAGAACTTCCCTCTTCTGTGCAGTTGCATAAAACGGGACGAGGCTTTCTTGGGAATCCGGCGATGATGACGACGGCAGAGTTACGGACGCCCGGGATTTCGTAACCCACGATCTGCACTCTACAGGCCTTTTCCGCCTTTTCCGATCGAAAGTGAAATTTTTCGGGGAAAAAAAAGTGCAGGTGCCTACAACAACGCCCCGCGATGATGCAGCGGTATATCCTTATGAATCGTGCATAGCTAATCGGATGAAATTAACCGAGTATGGTTGCGCGGTGAGACAGTAATTCCGAATCTTTGGCGCAATTTTTATCCACAATCGATGAAACCTCCGTGTCTCGGAGTCTCGCCCGGAGTAGTCACTTTCTCCTTTTATCATTGTTCCTCCCTTGGACTGGCAATTTCAATAAATATGAAAATCATTCGCCGATGGTATCGAAATTCTATAGTCCACTTTTGAAAATTTCTCCGCGTTGTAATCTCATATGATCCCAGTTTCGTTCGGTATGTGTTTACGGAAAATTTGCGACCCGCCCCATGTAAACACTGTCATATACCGCGTACCAAAGCGCGAGAAAAAAGTGACCCGCTTAAATCTGTCGAGAAAGTTTGGAAAACGTTTGCACGAAATGGAAGACCAGAGCCATGCGTAAATTAGAAAGTTTCGCGGGTGGGGGGGGGGGGAGGCTTTAGTTTTATCGCTCGTTGTCGATAAAAAATATACACCCTTTGGGAGACACGCCAAACGAAATCTTTGAGCGAAAGTACCGTTAAGAAAACGTCAAAAAGGAAAAAATCTTAAATTTCAGCAACCCCCACGCAAGCTGCTCCTTCATCTCGGAGAACTACCGGTCATCCTGTGCCCAAGTGTACAACTACCACCGGCTCCTAACCTGGGACGCCAAGCTAGGCCTGCACATGGACATATTCAAGGTGCCCACCTGTTGCACCTGCCACGTCCACGGTTACGCTGACCTGTTCCCGCCCCACCAGACCGATCCGCCCCTCAAGTCCCAGGAGCCCTTTCCAGGCGCCGATTTCGCGACGAGTGATCCTCACGTGGGCAAAGGTAGCCTATACAAGTAAGAAAATCACCATGGCTTTTGAATAACTGTACCTATCCATTGACGCGCAGGATCGAGCAACATAAACAAGTACGCCAACAGCCTGGACTCGGCGGCGTTGAATCTTTTTCGCGAGAGCTACGGCCAAGGCGGACAGGAGCAGGACCAGGAGACCCAACTGCAGCACTCGAGCAGCGCGCGGAGGCCGAGCATCGCGCGACCCCCAAGGCCAAGGAAGCCTTCGAGCGGTGGTGGTGTACCACGGCCCTTCAACAGCAAGTTGCCGCAGCAGCACGCGCCTAACACGCGGGCACCGGGGTACACGGGGCCGTGGCAGCAGAGGCAGAAGGGGCCCTTTCGCCGAGACTCCCCGTCAGCGGATGTATCGGATCATCCGGAAGGCCCAGCGAATCTTACGCTTAACGGGTCGGTACAGTGACTTATCGTGTGTTTTTTTTTTTTTTTTTTTTGGTTCCTTTGTTTTTCTTACAATGGAAATCCCGACAGATACGGTCAATCGATTGACTGGGACGCGATAGAGTCGAGCAGCACGAGGCTGCGCTCGAGCGGCTTCGACGAGGAGTACCAGGAGACGCAGAGGCGGGTCAACTACGACTACCACCCCATCATCGACTTTTTCAAGCCCGAGGCGGCGATGCTCAAGTCCGAGGGCCCGTCCTCACCGGCGACGCTTCACGACTCTTGGAAGCCCATATTCAAGACCTGAGTCCACGCGCTGACCTTCCCCCCCCCCCCACCCTCCCAATCAATCAATCTTATTCTTTCATCGAATGTACCTGAGACATACCTCAACGAAGACGAGTATATTATATATACATACATGTGTGTATGAACAAGTGAAAGGAACGCGGCTGCCCCACCCACTTGTATAGTATTAAGACTTCACGGACGATTTTTCTCTCATCGGGTGTACGTATACCCCATACCTTATATTATACATTTGTATCGTTGTTGTTGGTTGTTTTTTTTTTTTTTTTTTTCCCGTCCACTCGAAATTTTCAAACTTTGCTCTTTATTTATTAGCTTTTGTGTCGTCGTCCGTGTATATGCATCGTTGGACTGGCGACTCTCTTCGTATCATGTAATTTTAGTTTCCTACTACCTGATAGATCTTACACTTAGTCGATATCATCTTTTGTAAATGTCCCTCATGCTTTCGTGTACTATTTATGTTGTACTGTATGTTTTATACATACATTTATTTATATATATATATATATATCATGCTGTATATGATTATGTATCAAATGTGTATTATGTGTTTTTATAGTTTATCGAGTAATAAATTTGTTTTACGTTATCATGTATTGTTGTCGCTGATCAGTGCCCCTTGACGAACTGACCGTAAAAGAGCCCGAAGAAAGCGCTTGGCGCAGTTTCTCGGCGAAATGGATTTAATTTTCAAGAGAAAGTAAAAAAAAAAAAAAAAAAAAAAAAGGAAAGAAAGAAAGAAAGAGCGGGGCAATTGTTGTCGATGCCCCGAGAGAGACACTCGATTGACGCGGCAAAAAAAGTCCAAGTTTCGCTCGACCGAAGCGAAGTCAGTCTAGTGTGACTGCCACAGTCGGACGAATGATCGGTTTAAGTTCCCGTCATCCTTTATTTCCCCTCCACCCTTTCCGCCACTCCGAAGCGCGGAAAATATAAATTAGAGTACAGCCCGAGCGCGGCGTGCAGTACCGACCGACTCCTCCGACGAACGAGTTGTACCGGTGAATTAAACTTTGTTTTTTTTTAATTTTACGTCACAATGTGTTGAAATACATAAAATACCATAGACGCGCGAGAGCACAATGAGGTGAAAGACAATGATCGAGCTGTGCTATTGGATGCTCGTTTCGTTACTCTTGACCAGCGAGTACACGTGCTTGACCATCCGAAATCCAAATTCGGGGTCCATCGGCGCAATCCTCGAATCGTACGCCAATGCCTACACGACAAACGCACCGGTTCAACGATACACCTACTTGAACATTGGAGTGGAAAATCCCAACTACCGCGCGTATCCTCGTGCTGGGGTGAAAAACTCGGGTCACCCATCTCGGGATCCCGTCGGGGAAACCTATTCGAGTGGAGCTCCGGAGAAATCGGACCATCGATCGGTCCCATCCTCCGAAGAGAGCGAAGAAGAAAGTCCCAGGGGACCTCCGGACCATGTCGTGCCTCATTCGGAACACGAGAACCCCAGGGAGCCCAGGACTCGGCCAAATTACACGGCCCCGGGCGCTTGGGCCAGACCACCGGTGGATAGAAATATTCCACTCGACTTTGTACCGACAAAGTTGTACGCCCAGGTCCGCGGGAGCCACACGGTGAAACGCGTCCCGAAGGAGGAGGCCATCGAGGGCGCCGAAACGAGCGAGGAGAGGGAAAACGCGGCGCGACTGAAGGAGGTGGTGAAAGTCACGAAAGCCAACACGGTGTACACCGAGGAGGGCTACGAGGACGCGGCGTACGATCACGCCGGACAAATCAGGGACGCGGACTTCAATGAGGACTTTGCGAGGAAGTCCAAGGAAAACTCGAGAAAGAAGAAGAGGAAAAAATTCAGGAGCAGCAAACCGCACCAGCGGAAAAGGAAAAGCAAAAGCTACGGTGATCGCGCCGCGGGGGAGGAGTCGCGAGTTTTTAAGGAACAAGTGACGTCGGGGAGTTTGGAAAACGCTGTGAACGGTTCCGTCGTTGTACCGAAACTGGTCGTGGAAAGTGGGATTTTACAGCTCGAGGAGGATTTGCGGAGAGAGTCGCGCGAGGCTGAAACGATTTCGTATGCCACTACGACAATGCCCACAAAAGTGGCAACGGTGACGATAAAAAATCAAACTGCCGAGACATCGACAACAGTGAGGCCTAATGTATTCACGGTTAGGCCACGGAAGCCAACATCTACCGTGCGTCCAAAAGCTCATGCGGCCAAAGTAAGAGGACCAAAAAGTGACATATCAATTTCCAAGAGGAGTGACAACTACGATGGTTACGATAACATCCAATCGTCGGAGCCACTCGACAGAAACTTGGACCAAAGGACCGTGGGTAGTTCTTTGGTCGTGGCGACTATCAATGGACATGGGGCTTATTTGGATAGGTTGTCAAACCCTTTGGAAAAACGAGATTTGGGACCAAACGTTCGTTACGTTCATATTTCTGCTAAGGACAGGAACAAAGCTTCAATCAATTCGTATCTTGAACGTAAACCCTTCCACAAAGAGAAAGTACAAAAAGTGGAAGTGACGAGTGAGAGTAGCATTCCTGAATTGATGTACGGCATAACGAATCATCGTCATCACCGTCCTCTGGATGTAACAGATGACGACGAAAGTGATAGTAGTTACGAATTTCCGGGACTCAACGTATCTGAAGATTCGACGGAAACGACGGATCATTTGAGCAGTGATTACAATGATGGTTTCGAACATACGGAGATGATACGACCACCGAAAGTTTCGGGATCTGCCGTCACGTACCCCGAGTATTTGCTAGAGTCGCATAACAAAACTTTCAAGCAGAGATACGTGATGCAAAACAGTGGCCAACCACCGAGAAACGCGTACGAAGTGGTGGAAGCCGTCAACCCTTCCCCCTATGAGGTGGTGCTCCAAAACGGTGCCTTTTTTCCTATCACTGAACTTCTTCCACCATCTCCGCTAAGTGTCAGTGAGTACACAAGCTTCCTTGTTCAGAACAGAAAAAGTGGTTCTGTCCTACCAAAAGTGGTGGCTCTGGTACCCATCATCCAAGAGATTCGAAAACGCGAATCCAAAAAAAGCTCCTTCTCGTTTCTCTTGAGGAAGAAGAGGTCGACGGTCAATCATTCGAAACGACTGGAGTCGTTGAAAAGAAGCAGAGATCCTGAAGAGGCTCCACCTAGTGCGATTAAAAATAAAAACACATCCAGAAACGTAAAGTACCCGACAAAATTCAAATTTTACTTAAATGAATCTCCAAAGGTGGCTGGGGAAATAGTAAACCTAGAAATCGGCAAAAGATTCAATAACGATTCGACGAATACGGCAAAGGAAGGCAAACCGAGGAAAATGTCGGCTCAATTTTCAATTGAAAATCAGACAAGTTCATCAAGCGAGGTCTTGGAAAATGAAATTAAAAAGAAAAACGTGACAAAAGAACAGGATTCGGTTCAAGTAGAAGTTCCAGACTTTGACTTTAGCGGGGCATTTGAAGATGATGAAAGTGATGAATTAATTACAATCGAACCAACAATCAACGTAGAAAAGTATCCGTTTTATAACAGCAAAGTTTTAGGAAGCACAGCATTGAAGTACGTTATAAATCCAATGAAAGTTCCTCGCAAGACTCTCGGTGGTATGGAATTTTATGAGTCACGAAATTTGGAATGTAAAGACGTAGATCCTTATTTGGAAAAAATTGTACCTGAAGATGACTTGGAAGAAAAACGTGGCCCTAGAAAAGATGATTCAAGGCTCGGTGGCTTGGGTGATAAGTTGGATTGCTTCAAGGCCAAATACTTTGACGAAAACCCTTTGGATAGCCCATTATTTTTCGAGAAAAATGTAGAAGCGCCATCTTCACCCAAAGAGCTTGATCCTAAACAATTTGCATCGAGGATTTTTGAACTACCATCTGAAAAAGAGGAGTACATCGTCTCTAAAGGTCCAAAATCACCCGAACGATATACTTTGTCAACGCGAATAGCTTCAAAAAACACATCAAGAACTACTCCACAGAAAACTGTAAAATACAATTATAATAATAGATTGAAAACTGTCAGTCCATCGGTAACACGCAGTCAAAAAAATAACAAACCACCGGAAATTCTTCTAAATAATAGAAGTAGACTTTCGTTAAACCGTGCGCGATCCAATCCTCGATATAAAACACATTATTTGACAGTACCACCATTTTATCAACATCACGTTTACGAGGATGTCATGGGAATCATCAAAAATTCCACAAAAAATAATAAGCCATCGATTACGAATGAAAATCTTGCTTATCCTACCTACCATTCACAGGAACAGGACATACAAGAAAATCAATCCAAAAATACTCTTCAAAAACATCTACCAAATGATATTGATGGTTTAGTCCCTCCTTCACTGTACCCGTTTGTTTTCGTGCCTCACAAAAATGGTCATTCAAATTACAGACCTCCTTCACCGAATGTACACAAAAAAATTGTCCAGAGTGTACGGGTGTTTAAAAGAAATGCCAATCTTAATGATACCAAGAAAATGGAACATTCGTCGAACAACACGAATGGCACCGAAAAAGTTAAAAAAATTTTTAGAATAGTTTTAACGACTCCATTGGCTGAAACATCAGAAAAGCCAAAAACTTTCACAACCACCTTGAAGACATTTGCTACTCTAACAAATCCTAGTAATGGTAATTATTCGAGATTTACCGGATATCCATCGGATGTCGGAAGGTACGGTAAATTTTACATCAAACAAAATGTCAACTCATCAGCTGATTTCAGAAGAAATGAACCTAGATACAATGATTCTTTTCGGAAAAATGTGACAGTCGGTTCCAACGTGCCAAAAGTAGTTTCAAAGCTCAATACCGATTCAAATATCTCAGATTCAACGTTGATTCCAGTTATTGCGCTTCCTGATAAACAGCTCACCACTCGAATACCCCAAGAAAGTAAGATTGAGTATTCTCGACTGAAATATCCAAACGGTTACAGTAAACATGCAAGCGACGATAAAGTTGTGATTAAGT